TTTTTTTTTAAATCAGTATCAATGCCTTTTATTTTGGAATGTTTAAATGTTCGGGTTTTTTGTAATTGTTTTTATTACAAAATAAAACATGCCCAGAGTCATGTTTGAGAGATGGATAGCTATATAAGTGTGAGGAATGAATGAATGAATGAATATTAACTTGCTTAGAGTATATTTCCAGTATTTTGTTTCTATTTTATGTTCAACAACTTTTAATGTTTGTTAAAATTTATTTATATCTAGGCTTATAAACATGTAGTTCTACAGGGAGGATAACTGCCATTTATATTTTTGGAACTGAATAAAAAATAATTAAAACAAATGGAGACACGTATTTGTCAAAAGATATCTAAGAAAACATAGCAGGTTTCTACAAAAATATAGGAGAATAGGAGATGTGACCACAATCACTAGAACCTGACATCAGAGGAGGAAGAGAATAGAATGATTATACTTCATAAATTCAACCCCAAGATATTCATAATATTTTTTTCTTTTTCATATATAAAGATAATTAGGTCCTTTCCAAAGGAAAATTTTTGTTTAAAATCTTTCTTATAGCACTTTTGACTTCTTGGTTTCTCAGTGTGTAGATCAGGGGATTTAAAGCAGGTGTGATTGTGCTGTACAACACAGTAATGATCATATCTTTCTCAGAAGAATCACTAGCAGAAGCTACCATATAGTTGGAAATTACTGGAATATAGAAGATGGCCACCACACTCAGATGGGATGCACAAGTGGAGAAGGCTTTCCAACGGTTCCGCCATGACTGGACCTTGAAGAAGAGGAAGGTGATGATGTAAAAATAAGAGAGAAGAGTGAAAAAGAAGGGACTCAGAGCAATAAAACTACTCAGAAGATTCAGCAGGATGAAGTTGAGTGCTGTGCTGCTGCAAGCTAACTTCAGGAGAGGCTTGATATCACAAAAGAAGTGTGCAATGAGATTAGGGCCACAGAACCATAGCCGAGAGGTTGCCACTGAATGCACCAAGGCATGAAAGAAGCCAGCAGCCAAAGTGGCCCCAGCTAGAGTAACACAAGCCCATTTATTCATGATGAGAGTATAACGCAGAGGATGACAAATAGCTACATATCGATCATAGGCCATGACACCAAGCAGCACAGCCTCACTACTGCCCAGGAAGTGAAAGAAGTGCAATTGAGTGAGGCAGCCAATAAAGAAGATGGAGTGATTCTTTCTAAGGAAGCCGCTTAACATTTTGGGCACAGTCACAGTAGAGTAGCATATATCTAAGCCAGAAAGGTTTCCCAGAAAAAAATACATGGGGCTGTGAAGCCGAGACTCAGCCAGAATGACTGCTAGAATGGCCCCATTTCCTAACAAACAGGCTATATAGAAAAGCAGGAAAAGTATGAAGAGAACTTGTTGCAACCTGTGATCATTTGTTAGACCGAGAAAAATGAATTCAGACACTTCTGTCCAGTTCTTCATTGCTGCAAATATGAAAGAGATATGATAGTTATAAAAATGAAAAGCCATGTTCTGGAAGACATTTTCCATTCACACATAAATCAATAAATTATATTCAATGTCTACAAACAGTTGATGTTTTATTATCACTAAAAGGTAAAGTTTTCCATATCAATCACGTCTGATTCTAGGCCATAATGCTCATTTCTGTATCTTGGCCAAGGAAACCAGCATTCTCTGAAGACAATTTCTCTGGCCATGTGCCAGTCAGGCTATATGCCAAAAGCACACAAAAATGAAAGTAGATGTTTCTAAAAGGTATAATATTTAGAGAAACCATCTCTTTTACTATTAATGGGATTTTTTTTTCAAATTTTCCAATAATGTTTTTATTAGGTTAAGCGTAATGTGTTAATAGTCTGTCTCTGAAATACAAAGGAGATTAAAAGGACCTTTAAAGTGAATTTTCAATTCCTGATGGAATGCAGTCATAGCAATTATTTTTATAGTCCATTTCAAGGATCAGAAGATTTAAGTGTTCATGGGACTCTGAGACATATTTACCAAGGTCTACTGGAAATCTTACTATTTTCATATTGTCTAAGGAAAGGTACAGCTGTTTAAAATGAAACATTAAAACTTTTAAATACAGGAGGTTCATTCACCTAGACCAGGTCAAACTCGCATCACATGACATATCATGACTTTCTTCCTCTTTGCTAAATCGGCCATGGGCATGGCCAGTGCGTGAGGCACCCATGGGCCGCGAGTTTGACAACCCTGACCTAGACAGATGTAATAGCTTAGCTCTTTTTGCAGCGATTCTTCACAACATATCTGTTAGCTCTGATAATTCAGGATTAAAAAGGGCAGTTAATTTCTTGGTAGCAATTTATGATATTTTATAAATGAAGATATAGTCTTCCAATAATTTCAGTAGATACCATGGATGAATTATCAGATGAAATTTAAAGGAAATAATATTCATATATTTATTATCCCTGTTCCATCTTTCTCTCAGAGATAACATAAATGATTCTGCAGATCTTCTATTTTTTCTATTTCTTAGCACTTCCAGACTGTCTGCATATTGGGAAGGCCATGCCAGTCATGGACCAAGCAGCTATGATTCCATGAATATGAAGAATAGATATAATTTCAAAAATAATTCAGGTTTCTCTTCAGCTCCTACCTGGATAGGTTATTGTCTCCTGTATGCAGCCATTCCCAGATCAGAAGTTTAGCAAGATCAAATTGTTTCCCTTCGCTTTATATTCTAGCAGAATATGCCACAGTCATTCTTCACAAAATCTTTTTAATAGCACTCATTTAGCAATTATGTCTTGTGGGAAAATTACTCAGGAGATAATATATGTATGCTATAATGGTTCTGAAAAATACAACTGATTAAACCTCAGGTGAGATAATGATAATTAAATTGTTCCAATATGGGAGGTAAATTAAAATTGTCCTGGATCTGAATGGAAGCAAATTGCTGTATCCTCTGGAATTCATATTGTTGGAGTGAGAATGCCTTCCGTTAGAATTCCAGTCTCTATTCCAGATAATAATAAATAATAATAATAATAAGGCAGGGAAGAGTTGAAAGAGGATGAGCTGTATACAAACATTGATTTCAAGGATACTAATTGCTTATAATCTGTAGTCCATAAAAACCTATATGAGAAAAAATGTCAGTTTTTAAAGTATCACATTGACTCCCACTCTGGTAACTGGCACCTTAGCCTTTTAGCCTGTCATATTGTACCCGTGGGAATGTGAGTTGGTGTTGATGTGGTATTTGTAGGGACTGCTACTGCCTCCTAAGTGCCCCATCACTGTATTATTAGTGATTAAGGGAATAACTTCTTGTCTTGATATTCTGCAATGAGGCTGTACTATATTTTGGTTTGGTTTTGTGGTATTTTTGGTGACTATAGGATTTATTGTGATTGGTGGGTGAGTGAGTAAGTAAGTAGATGAAGGAGGAAAATAGATGCCTTGCCTGAAATTGGGAAGGAAGGAGTGAGGGGACCATTGGGAAAAATGAAAGGACAGTTCCAAACATAAACACCATATTGGGCTGAGTCAGTATGGTAAGATTCCATGGGCAGGTCACACTGAGCAATGAGGGGCTTCCTGTTTTATAAGAATTCTGCCATTTAATTAACATAATCTAGGTTATTGGATCCTCAGTGGTGCCAAGATCTGTTTGCTATTGCTGAATTCCAGATCAAAATGCCATAAATTAACTCTGAGGGGCTATAATCCCAGGAGGAACACAAGACTGGTCATATTGGATTAGCCAGAAAATTTATGATCACAGATGATTCCAGAGGAAGCATAGAGTATTTCTGGAAAATCTGACGGCATCTTGGTTGAAGTCATGCCTGGAATTGAGACGTGACACAGGCCTTAGACTGCAATGTTGTTACTCAGCTCCTCTTTCTGCGCTGATCCCTTATATACTTTTGTTCTCTGAAGAATTCCAAGAGATGACGATATCTCTGGATCCATGAAATTTAACATTTAGAATTTCTTTGATGGTATATGACAGTGATGGCTAACCTTTTTTCTGTCACGTGCCAAAAGCGGGGGGAGCTGGGGGGGTTTCGCACACATGTATGCCCACACTCATAATCCAATGCCCCCCCCCCCCGTCCCATGCATGCATGCAACCCCCCCCCCAAGCAGCAATTTGCTTCCTTTCATATCCAGGACAATTTTTCTTTACCTCCCATATTGGAACAGTTTAATCATCATCATCTCATCTGAGAGTTAATCAGTTATATTTTTCAGATTCATTGTAGCATATATATATTATCTCCTGAGTCATTTTCCCACATGACATAATTGCTAAATAAGTGCGATTAAAAAGATTTTGTGGAGAATGCCTGTGGCATATTCTCCTAGAATATAGGTGAAGGGAAACAGTTTGATCTTGCTGAACTGCAGATCTGGGAATGTTTGCATACAGGAAATCGTAACTTTTCCAGGTAGGAGTTGAAGAGAAACATGAATTATTTTTGAAATTATATATATTCTTTATGTTCATGGAATCATAGATGCCTAGTCCATGACATGTATGGCCTTTCCAATATGCAGATTGTCTGGAACTGCTAAGAAATAGAAGATCTTCAGAATCATTTGTTATCTCTGAAAGAAGATGTGACATGGATAATGTAATCTAATAAATACATGAATATTATTTCCTTATCCATAGTATCTATTGAAATTGTTGGAAGAATATATCTTCTTGTATAATATATTGCAAACTTCTGCCAAGAAATTAAATGCCATTTTTTCTCCCTGAACTATCAGAGCTGATTGATATGTGTGAAGAATCATTGCAAAAATAGTTGAGCACATTACATTTGTCTATGAAACAATGTTGCATTTTAAACAGCCACACCATTCCTTCGACAATATGGAAATAGGAAGATTACCATGTAGACCACAGGTGTCAAACCCACAGTGTCACGTTGTTGTCACATTATGTTTTTTGTCTTTGCACAGTTGGAGTGGACATGGCCTGCGCATGACACATCTGACCTATGGGACACCAGTTTGACACTCCTGATATAGACCTTGGTATATGTTATCTCAGAGACCGTTAACAGTTCAATTTTCTGATCCTTGAAATGGACTATAAAAGTAATTGCTCTGACTGTATTTCAACATGAATTGAAAATCCACTTTAAAAATTGTTTTAATCTCCTTTGTATGCCAGAGATAGATAATGAACAGATTTATGCATAATCGGAAGAAAACATTAATGGAAAATTTGAAATAAAATAATTGTAAAGGAAAATAATTGTAAAGGAGATGGTTTCTCTGAATATTATCCCTTTTAGAAACATCTGATTTCATTTTTGGTTGGGTCTTAACCACAGGTTGCAGTTTCAATAGGGGAGAATATATAAGGTTGAAATGAAGAGCTCTTGGTGCTCTCTGATGTTTCGTTGGTTTCTTGCTGACATTTCATTACCCAAGCTAGATAACATTGTCAATGCACTGATAACGTTACATAGTTTGTGTAATAGAATGTCTGCAATAAAACAACCAAGTTCAGAACACACCAATGACCCCTCAGTTTACAGCGTAAATCATAAATTATGATATATTTTTATTATTTATTTAAAAAATAATACTCTCAACTCACTTTCATTGATTCCCAACAGCTTACAAAGATAGTGCAAAACCAGTAATCTCCCACCTCCCAGTTCCAGTTTATAAAACTGAAAAAAATGAATTAATTATTGTTTGCCACAGAAAGACGAAAAATGATAGAGGCTGTGGCATAATTATTGAAAATCAATTAACTCTGTCAATTAAAAAAAAATTTATTCTGATTTATTAGTTCCATGTAAGTTTAAATCAGAATCCAGTGTAAATAAAAGAAAACTTTTAAACTCCTTCACTGGGACCCACCGGAAGAAAAAAATTACTAAGAATAAGACTTCTTGCTCAGTTTCCATTCATTGATTTCATGCTTCTGAGTATGATTTGCCATGGCACTCTTAAAAGCCAAACAAGAATCTAATATCTGACAGTATTTCTGTTAGTAAGTGCTTGAATGTCCAAAACAATTAGGAACACCAAACTGTTTTATACGTGCTTTCCTTGACATAACCATTTAGTAATGATAATGGGGAAACAATGGCTCTGCAGGTAAAGACACAGAGCTTGTCAGCTGGAGAGAAGCTGTACACAATGGGTGAGTTCCCATTATTTGCTCCAGCTCCTTCCCATCTAGTAGTTCAAAAGCATGAAAATGTAAATAGATTAAACAGAAATAGATTAATACCCCATTGGTAAGAAGATAATTGCATTGCATGTACCTTTGGCTTACAGCCATGCTGACCACATGGCCATGACATTGTCTTCAGACAACACTGGCTTCCTTGGTCAAGACACGGATATGAGCACTATGGCCTAGAGTCACATGTGATTGATATGGAAAACTTTACCTTTTAATGATAATGAAATATCAACTGTGTGTAGACATTGAATATAATTTATTGATTTATGTGTGAATGGAAAATGTCTTCCAGAACATGGCTTTTCATTTATATCTATCATATCTCTTTCTCATTTGCAGCAATGAAGAACAGGACAGAAGTATCTGAATTCATTTTTCTCGGTTTAACAAATGATCACAGGTTGCAACAAATTTTCTTCATACTTTTCCTGCTTTTCTATATAGCCTGTTTATTAGGAAATGGGGCCATTTTGGCAGTGACCCTAGCTGAACCTCGGCTTCACACCCCCATGTATTTTTTTCTGGGAAACCTTTCTGGCTTAGATATATGCTACTCTACTGTGACTGTGCCCAAAATGTTAAGCGGCTTCCTTAGAAAGAATCAGTCCATCACCTTTATTGGCTGCCTCACTCAGTTGCACTTCTTTCACTTCCTGGGCAGTAGTGAGGCTGTGCTGCTTGGTGTCATGGCCTACGACAGATATGTAGCTATTTGTCATCCTCTGCGTTATACTCTCATCATGAATAAATGGGCTTGTATTACATTAGCTGGTGCCACATGGGCAGCTGGCTTCTTTCATGCCTTGGTGCATTCAGTGGCAACCTCTCGGCTATGGTTCTGTGGCCCTAATCTCATTGCACACTTCTTTTGTGACATCAAGCCTCTCCTGAAGTTAGCTTGCAGTAGCACAGCACTCAATTTCATCCTGCTGAATCTTCTGAGTAGCTTTATTGCTCTGAGTCCCTTCTTTTTCACTCTTCTCTCTTATTTTTACATCATCTCCTTCCTCTTCTTCAAGGTCCAGTCATGGAAGAACTGTTGGAAAGCCTTCTCCACTTGTGCATCCCATCTGAGTGTGGTGGCCATCTTCTATATTCCAGCACTTTCCAACTATATGATTGCTTCAGCCAGTGATTCTTCTGAGAAAGATATGATCATTTCTGTCTTGTACAGCATAATCACCCCAGCTTTAAATCCCCTGATCTACACATTAAGAAATAAGGAATTCAAATTTGCTATAAGAAAGATTTTAAACAAAAATCTTCTTTTTGAAAGGGCCTAAATATCATTACATGTGAAAATAAAAAAAAATATTTTGAATATCTTTGGGGTCAAATTTCATTCTATGCTCTCCCTCCTTTGATGTCATATAGTGATTGACGTTGCATCTCCTATTCTGCCATACTTCCGTAAGAGCCTGTTATGTTTACTCAGATATCTTTTGAGAAATGTATGACTCAATTTATTTTTATTTATTTTTATTCAGTTCCAAAGATATATGTGCAGTTGTCCCCATTGTAGACCTACCTGCCTATAAATCTAGAAATGAAAATTTTAGAAAGGCATTGCAAAAGTTTCCAAATATAAATAATTTCACTTTTTGGAGAAACAGAATACTGAAATAATACTCCATACATTTTTGTTCATTTCCAAATGTTCAGTTTATGTGTATTTATTTATTTGTCGCATTTCTATGCCACCCAACTCCTTGGGGACTCTGGGCTGCTTATTCCTAAATTGGTATTTTTACCTCTGTTGACTATATTGATTAATTTTTATTCAAACAATATGTATATTCTACTATTTCTCCATAAATTTGTATGCAGCATTATCAATTATAGAAGTGTTTTTAAAAATTCAAAATGGAGTAACCATTATTTTTATTGATAAGTTCTTTAATTTCATATGAAGAAGATAAACTAGTGTCTCTTTTAAGCATGTTTCATTTCCTTTAAATTCCTATTAATGAATAGTGGGGAAGCTTTTTCAACTTTGCTTGTTGTAAAATTCCATATTAATGCTAACTTCAACCTTTATTAGATGAAAATAGAAATATAATGGATAATAATAAACAATTTCCATGTGCAACTATTCCACATATAAATCAGAAAAGGCAGTATTTTTCTGCCTTTACACTCCAACTCATTTCATATATGTAAATATTGTTCTCAGGTTTCTTTAAGTATAGATACATAACTGCATTTTACTTTACCATAATTTTCAAGTATCCTTCCAAAAAACCAACTATTTGAAATGTAAATAAGAAACCAACAAAACTCTTGCCTTTGCAATGAAAATGTGCCAAAATCTGCTTTTATGATTCTTTCCTGCATACCAAGAAATTTTCCCTCTTCTAGACATACATACAATTATTGTGAGAACTTGTTCCATACTAAATTTGGGTGGAATTTGTGTTTTGTTTATTTCTGTGAGTCTTCAAGTATATGCTGATTTGTGGTGATTACCTGGACAAGTCTCTACAGTTTTCTTGACAATATTTCAGAAGCGGTTTGCCATTGCCTGACTTCCTGATGCCTTAACTACATTAAAATGGTTTTCTTTCTTTCTTTCTTTCTTTCTTTCTTTCTTTCTTTCTTTCTTTCTTTCTTTCTCTTCCTTCCTTCCTTCCTTCCTTCCTTCCTTCCTTCCTTCCTTCCTTCCTTCCTTCCTTATTTACTTACTTACTTACTTACTTACTTACTTACTTACTTACTTACTTACTTACTAGATTACAACTCTATCTAACATAACCAATGTGTTTCTGGGCAGTGTTTACAGCCTTAGTTGCTCTCAGAAGTCAAAGAAACAAAGAAGAGACAATCCAGATAAATGTTTTATTCCTTGATGCCTTTAATATCAAATATTAAAATATTGTGTTGTATTGTTTTGTGGTTTGTTCTTGTTTCTATTAGATCCTAGAACAAGAAGGCCTTTGAGGTAATTTCATCTTCTGAAGTTTTCTGTGGACAGCCAAGTTGATTTAACATGTGTAAATCCTAGTGTGTGCTGAATCCGTAGGAGTATATAAACTGAAGAATTACTGTACAATAAGACCAGGTATAGATCATTATGTATAAGCAACATGACTTTGGGTTATATTATGGACTATCTTGAAAAAGCTGAATGTTGGCCAAGTCTTGTTGTCTACCTGTTTAGGATTCTAATCTCACAGAAACTAAGACCATGAAGCAGACAATTTCCATTGGAGACCCTTCCCTCTGCACTAAAGCCAAGTTCTATTTTCTGCTGCTGAATACCAGGTCAACATACCATAAATTAATGGTAAAGTGCTGTAATCCTAGCTGTATAAGGTTATTACATTCCTGGATAATCTGGTGGCATCTTGATTGAAATCTTGGACACAGCCTGGAATTGAGAAGTGAGAAGGGCCTTAGACTAGATTGCTGTTATGCAGCTCTTTTTTCTATGATGATCACTTACATACTTTTGTTTCTAGGTTGCTCCAGGAGGTGAAGATATGCCTAGATCCTTGAAATGTAATATTTAGAAATTATTTGCTGCTATGTGGCATTACAGAAGCTAATTATTCTACGGTGCATTGTTTTATTAAGTTCTTTGAAAACCTTATGAGTCTTTGTATCAGGTTCCAAATAGCTGATATGGCAATACCAAAAGATAATGAAATACAATACAAAGAATTAGAGAATATCACAAACTATCATGATCTGAAAATCAAAGCTGTAACATTATAGAAAAAACTAGCTATAGTTTATCAAAATTTATGTACCATTTATGACAGTGTATTCATGATAGGCAAAGACATGGTAACAAGATCAGCCAATGAATAGGGCTTAGTAACAAGGTCAGACAATGGGAGCTGAGACAGCAAGGAGCTTGGGCGTGGCTTAGCTGTGCTTAGCTCGGAGTGCTGTGCTGAGGGTATTGTATATTTATTTTCATGTGTTCTATTATACTGTATATAAACAGAAGTTAATGAATCCTGCTGAATCAGTTACCTGTGTGTGCTTTCTGGATTTGATTGCTGCAACAAACTCTGACAATTTAGAAATGGAAAAAATGGCAAAATTACATTTTTCAAGTATGGGATAAATGACTTAGATCCAAACATATACTAGAGCAATACTTCTGAGGTTCTTGAGAAAATGTTGATGTGTAAGAAACAGAGCACCATCTAAAGAACTGGCAGCTGTAAATTCACATTTTTATATATGTAATGCTTTTCTTCTTTCTTGTCCATATTGCTGTGTATATATGACTTTCTTTCTATCTGTCCCATATGTAAAAGCAGGTACATTCAAAGCCTAATAATTTCCACAATAATGTTCTACAATTGAAGATGCTATCTATTGCATGAATCTGCAGAATACTTCACTAAAATGGGGATTGTGAAGAAATGTATTTCACCATATTTCATCACACAAAACTATTAAAATGCTCTGATGATGCACATTGTCACCATTTCTTAAGTGTTCTAAAGATGGAAATCTTAGGCCCTTTTGAATGGAACGTTTTGAGTTAAAAACTTCCTTATGGCCGATTTGACTTCTTGATTCCTCAAACAATAAATAAAAGGATTTAAAACTAGTGTAAGTACAGGTTATAACAAAAAGATCTTAAAGTCTTTCTCTGGAAAAATCACTGGTAGAAGCAAGCATTCTACAGGAATATAGAAGATTGCCACAACAGTCAGATGAAATGCAGAGATGGAGAAGACTTTCCAGTGGTTCTGCCATGGCTGGACTTTTTGATTATGGAAGAAGGTTGCTCAACTTTGGTTTCATTCCAAACCCACAGAGAACACATGGATACTTTTCACAGCCCAGCATTATGAAAATTTCCTCTGAATGATAGGATACTTTCAATATAACTTCAAAATCCTGCACACTGTTCAATGATACTGTTGTATATCTAGGTTCTACCAGTTGTATATGTACTTAATCCTATTTTGTGAATTTTCATGGATCAATTAAAATGCTTATACCACTGTTATAATTGAGAACACAGCATCCAAATATATGGATTATGCTGGAACACATCTACTGTTTGAATAATATTAAAGGTAAAGGTTCCCCCGCACATGAGTGCTAGTTGTTTCTGGCTTTAGGGGCAGTGCTCATCTCCGTTTCTAAGCCAAAGAGCTAGCACTGTCTGAAGATGTCTCCGTGGTCATGTGGTCAGCATAACTCAATGCCAAAGATGCATGGAGCGCTGTTACCTTCCCACCAAAGACAGTCCCTATTTTTCTATTTGCATTTTTTACATGCTTTCAAATGGCTAGGTTAGCAGAAACTGGGACAAGTAACCGGAGCTCACCCGTATGCAGTGCTAGGGATTGGAACTGCTGAACTGCCAACCTTCTGATCAACAAGTTTGGCATCTTAGCCACTGAGCCTAAACAAAAAAGAAAGAATTCCTGAATAACTATAACATAATGTAAATTAAAGAAGAGTGCCAAATGAGTTTTCCTAGATTAATAGATTCAATCCACATAAATACTTGGATCATATTCATAAACATGTTTCATGTTTAAGTGTTTTCTCTAAAAAGTGAAAATCTTCATTTTCAGAAAATTTCCTAAGGTCATAAACATGTAGGACTAAAATTGGGGAGGGAGAAAGCCATACTTATGGAATGCATGTTACTGAATAAAAACGAAGAGATATTCAAGCTTGCCAAAAATTTACAAAAGCTAGGCTTCCAAAAAGATTAGAAAGCTCTTGAGCTGGACACTGAGTCTCTGTAACATAACATATATGGAAGGAGAGCATACAAAGCATTTAGTGGTTCCAATGCATAAAAATATTTTGACAATACTGGACCCCAGTTCATTTCTTTTTCAGAAATACAGGGAACTAAGCCATTTCAAAGGAGTGATTTCTTTTTTACAATTTTTCTTATAGCTGTTTTGACTTCTTGATTCCTCAGTGTGTAAATCAGGGGATTTAAAACTGGTGTGATTATGCTGTACAACACAGAGATGATCATATCATTCTCAGAAGAATCACTAGCTGATGCAAGCATATAATTGGAAAGTACTGGAATATAGAAGATGGCCACCACACTCAGATGGGATGCACAAGTGGAGAAGGCTTTCCAACAGTTCCGCCATGACTGGACCTTGAAGAAGAGGAAGGAGATGATGTAAAAATAGAGGAGAAGTGTGAAAAAGAAGGGACTCAGAGCAAAAGGACCAGTGACAAATTTCAGAAGGCAGAAGCTGAGAGTTGTGCTACTACAAGCTAATTTGAGGAGAGGTTTGATGTCACAAAAAAGTGTGCAATAAGATTAGGGCCACAGAAC